TTCGATTAATAGTATCTTAATAATTCGGGGTGGTGTAATGTCTAAACCACACCGGCATGGAGTGGGGTATACTTTGGAGTTACTCTGGAGTACATTACTCCATTAACATCCCTACAGGAGATTCACGCCCAAGCATAAGTAATGCTTTACAAAAAATATCGGATGAAGAGTTTTTAAAGTAAGTTGCAAAAAATGAAAATGTTAATCCTAAAAACTCAATTAAATATAATATTTTTAAACTTCTAGAATGTGTTATGGTTGTCCTCCATTTTCTTTGAAAGAACGATGGAAACATATACCACCAATATTGGAACACGCAGCTATTTATGTTGGAGGTTTGTAGAATGCGTATAATTTATGATTTATTTTATTAATTACAATGTAACGGATTAAATGAAATATTGTACAATGTAAAAAATAGACACTCTACCGAAAATTAAAAAATTTTGGAGATGCATTTTTTAGGGTTAGGGTTTTAGAGAGTTAAATATTTCCGGTTTCATTATGGTCCGCGACAATTACTGCATTTTAAATATCTTTTATTGTTCAGGGAGATATAATAAATTTTCGTGAGATATTAGTCAAACTCCATGGATTATTAATGGCATTAAATTAGCACCAACTTTGTTTCCGAGTGCATTGGAGAGAAACTACGCGAACTATTCAGATGTGACGGCAATTTCACTTTTTTTTCCCGCGTCATTTTACCATTAAGATTATAATTTGGTGCCGGCAGGTCGAGAGGATTCTAACGTGCGTATGTTAGGTAATGGGAGACTATTTTTCATAGAAATAATCAATCCTCGAAACCCTTTTCCATCTCAAAAAGCTCTAAATAATGTACAAGAAGAATAAATAAGGAAAATACGGATTTGATGCGATGCCAGAGATTAACAATTACGATGAAAAATTTACTTGTGTTATTAAATTTTTGTTTAAAAAAAAAAAGCAAACGGGATTTATCTATTATAAAAGAAGGTGAAGAAAAAAAGACAAAAACATATAGATTAGTCTTATAATAGGTCATAATCATATATAATTTTAGATAAATTGCGCACTTGTAACGACTATTACCAATATAAAGTTGGGTTGGCTTTACTTTCTGAAAAGTTAACAATTTTCTAATATGAATACAACAATTTATTTCTTCTTTTGTTCAAAAAAAAAAAAAGTACACTTGTTTGGATTTTAAAAAGTAACACTTGAGATAATTGACGAGATAAATAAATTTCATGATGGATTCACTATCAAACAGCAAACTCGTTCAATATTCATTATTATCCATTAGGCGATCACCAGCAGTCGGAGCATCCACTTATTTGCGCGGGTGGCTATAGTAAAGCATCCGGTGTACATGTTATTTGAAAAATCTGCCGATGGTTATCATCGACCAATTTAGAAAATT